AGCATGAAAATATGCACGATTGGATTACAATGAGAGACAGAGAAACCTGGGGCATGGAATCTTTATTTCAGAATCAAAATCTTTACTTCGACTGGAGGAACCTGACGAGCTTTGAAGCTCTTTCTCGCAGATGCCCAGTGGGGGCGCGTCAAATCGGCAACGTCAAATCGGCAACGGTCAAATCAGCAACGGTCAAATCAGCAACGTCAAATCAGCAACGGTCAAATCAGCAACGGTCAAATCAGCAAGGGTCAAATCAGCAACGTCAAATCGGCAACGGTCATCCTGTGCCCATTTTGCTCCCCAACCATCAGAATGCGAGAAATTCCCGGAGCCTCCTCGGGGCTGCTCGGGGCTGCCAGCGGTGGTGAGCAACATCTCGCCCGTCCATTAAGGATGGGGGAGGCATTTTGTCTTCACTAATCAACACGACTCAAACACGCGTTTTTCGTCCGTGGCCTCCTCCCGACGGTTGGCAGAAATGACGGTGGGAAGTTTGCGTGCAGGCAACGTACCGACAGCGGCATTAACGCGACAACAGCAAAAAATACATCTCACCGCACATTTCCTGCTGAGACACAAGCTTATTAATCTTCGCTCCGGGGCGAGCAAGATGTTGCACTTCCGCGCCGGCGAAGCGAAGGATTAAACCGCACGTCGCAATGGTCAGACTTTTGCCCTCTGCACGATCGTGCGTGCGCACGTTTGCCCGTTTGGCTCGTGCCGGCCGGTGCCTGTGCATTTGCGTTTGCCGCTCGCGAGGTCCGTGCAGCAACGTAAGATCGTTCCGAGGCAGAGAGTCGAGGGAAATGAGGTGAAAATTACCAGCGGTGCCTTCGTACGTTATGTAATGGATAAACACGTAAGGGGGCAAAGCCACTCGCAGTGTGCCTCCATCACACTCGAACAGTGCTATACAGAGACTCTATACCTTGTATAATCTGTATAAATGTATCACCAGTGTTGTCTCAAGTGTATTAACCAGCGTATGCTTTCACTTGTTTTTGTTCAGTTTATATTTAAGCTGAAAGTCATTCTTCTAAAAGTCGTGTTCTCACGCGTATGGCTGTGTATTTGTGTATGTTTACGCGGATATAATGCATAGGGGGGAGAGGTGGTGCTGTGATTAGCGCACTGCATTATGAACCCAGACACCTGACTTCGATTTCAGGTCGCGGCTAACATCAGTGGCGAGTGATATATGGACTGATCTTGGCCCCCCACATTCGTAAACCCGCACAGGCACAGCTTGGGAAGCCCTTCATCCAGCAGTGGATTGACAAAGGACTGGCAGTTATTGTGTTTTTTTTTTACAAACACTGTGTGTATAGCAGGATTGTAATTTCGATCATCGGTCTATATTATCAGGTGGTAGACTACTGATAATCCCATCGATAAGGTAGCGAGTTCAAATCGCGATGATGGATAATTCGACCCATCATCACTTCGTGGTGTATAAAATGCGCGCCACCTGACGAAGCTGCACATTTTGGTCACAGGTAAGCCAGTGCACACCGTATGCAGAAATCAGGACTTGCCCCAAGGAATGTGGAAAATCCAACACTTTGCTTCAGACCAAACATATGAAAAAAACGACTTTCGACTTTCAATTCCGCCAACTATTGCACAGATATTATGTTTGTAAAATGATAATTAATGCTTTCTCGAGGTTAAGTTTAATAGTTACACGTGTGTGACATTTGCTTATTGATAGAATCAGATGCCTTTGGAAATGAAATACTTTTTCGCTATGTTTTTCACCTGTTGTCACTCTAACTTAACAAAGACATTTAGGTTTTCTCATTTGTGAGCAACTCGTTATCCACGAAAGGTCATCTCCCATTTTTGCTCTTTAGAATGATTTAAACTAATGGCTCAGTGCTCAGCCAAAAGTCTGAAATTTTAACACTGACATATCTCACGTAGGCTCAAATTATACACAAATGTAAAATGGGATTAGATTAACTTCAGTATTTAGCTTACGCAAATAAATTATTCATTTTGCAAAGTCGGCTCATATTTCTTTAAATTGAAGCTTTGCACTCAACTCTCATTCACCTATTCTTATTTGCAGACAGCTGTTATATACAGATGTCTGCCGAGCGTTGTAAGTTTCCTTCCAATTAGAAACCCTCTGCCATTCCGCTCTAATTAACGTCAGGAGACTCAGAAGCACACTGCACTGTTACTGAACATGTGCTTACATTTTCCTTAATTGTCTTAACCCCTTTCACCAACAGCGTGAGCTCCGGTGCCCACTCGATGCTCCGCCACTTTAGATGCGTCTTCGGACTCGTTCAGTCTCTCATCCGGACCGCGATTCACTTACAGGATATTTTCGGCGATGTTTGTGCGACCGTTTTCGAGCAACGAATTTTCACCGCCACTTGCGTTCTTGTTCGCTGTTGACGAAATTTCCTTCAAGGCATATGCCAGCAAGACTACCTTGCTGGCGTGTGTATATGTGTGGTTCAATAACGTCTGACGTCAAAGAAAGTGGAGCCAAAAGAGTTAAAGAAGCACATGTTCCCCCCCCCCCAAAAAAAAAATTTGGGGGCGATGCTTTCAACACTGATAGTAACGAGCTAATACGAGTAAGTGACTAACCCGCACACGTCTAGATCCCGTTAGCGTGTACGCGTGGTTGTATTTCGCTCCAAGTGTTGGAGTTCATATTTATTTGTTCTGTATTACTTTTACACAAAACATCAGTGCTTCGTATCTTTTTTTCTTTTCCCCCAGCCACTGGAATTCACGTGTAAAGTAAAGAGCCAAACTTTTCCGTTCATTTAAGCCCAGGGCACCAGGGGTAAGCTTTGTTTTACGGCCTTTGTAGTTGGCTCATAATGTTAACACGAAACTTTTCCATGCGTGTGTGCTTCTGGAAACACAGTAGGCTTAGCAGTCGTGTTCCCACTGCTTGAACGTGTGATGTGTAATAGTCGTTGGTTACAGAAGCCCACTCGGGTCAGGGTCAGGGGCAGGAAACTCTGCTCCATAGAACCCATTCTCATTTTGGCTTTTTGCGATGCCATTAAAATACTTGCCAGGTTTAGCCAAAAGTCGGCGTCTCCCTCGTGGAAGCGAGAATAGGCACAACGCTCTCCCACACTGGCAGCACGTGAGCCGGTGGTAGAAATCGCGCGACTCCTTTGGCAGTTTCTCAATAGGATGACCACCGTCGTTGTCTCAGAGAGTGAAACTTCGTTTATTGGCCTCCCCGCCCTGTCCCCCCCAAGAAGGATGAGTCCAATGCCCGACCAGGATCTCTGCGTGCTCAACATTATGAGCGCCTAACGAGTGGCGCGGTTGGTGACGTATGGTGCGAAAGAAGTTCAACGTACATACATACAGCATTAGTCACACTGACTGCGTTAACAGAGCTCCTTGGCTAGGTTAACATTTATACAGGTTCAGCTGTTTTGTCAATGCCATTTGGAATTAGGGCCTCCCCATGCTGTGAGGTTTCGGTGGTCTTTTGACCATACTTCATCGCCCAGCTCAGTGCGAGTTAGTGAAGGTAGAGAGCATAGCTGAGGAAGCCTCGAGTACAGTACAACAACAGATTTTGCAGCACTCCCCTCTGCTACCCGCATCGTAGCTCATTGACAAAGGAAATGGAACAATGGCTGACAAGCGTGCAAAGAGGCATGGAAGGACACGTGCTTGGAATTGCATTGAGAGACAGAGAGAGGATCACTGGGATTAGGAAACATACCGCGGGTTTACTTAAGGCACAATTTTACTTGCCGTTAAGAAAAGTAAGTTAGACTGGGGGATCAAAACGCATCGCCCGAAAATCATGACGGTCGATGGACGAAACCGGAGCTGGAATAGCAGCCAAAGTGGAGTCAAAGTGCCCCAGAGGATGACCACCGAGCTGACGGAGCGATGAGATCAGCTCATGCTCAGGAGAGGATCGCATGGGATGGCGTAGAGGCCTTCGTTTGGCAGTGGATAGATGATGGCTCACAGTGATCACTCTGAACTAAACACAGCATCCCCGGATTCCTAGAAGCCGCCATGGTCGATGGTCATGGACAATAGCGCGGAGGAAACCAAGGAACGGAACGCGTCCGAGGGGACGTCTGTCAGGGAGATGGAGCGATGAAGTCAGCTGATGCGTGGGAGCCGGTTGGAATGTTGCGTCGTGATGCCGTGAGAGATGGCGTCGGAATTTGTGAACGAGGCCTTAATCCAGCGGTGGCATGATCACGGCGGGATGATTACGACTCGGCAGCGCTGCGTGCGCCTGCGTGCGCGTGCACGTGTCCGTCTGCTTAGTCTCGGAGGAGTGTGCGGTGTGGTGTGTAAACATCAGCACTTCAGAGACAAAGACATACATGAGTGTGGGGAGTGATGCTGACCACATCACCCCCTCGTGTATCGTACTCGCCTTTAGGGGCAAGCGCTTATAGAAATTGCCCCTTAAGCCAGTGAGGCTGAACAAGAAATCTTTTTTTTGTGTGCATGGGTGTGACTGCGCGTATCCATTTGTAAATTCTAGTTACATCATCATTCTCGGAGCGAGGCGCTGTCAAGCATTGTCTTGTTGGTTTACACCTGGAAATGTCATGCTCGTTCATCTTGCCGTACGATTATGGCCGTGGATGGGTTCGTTGTGATCCCTTTGGGGAGTTGCACCCAGACAGAAAACGAAATAGCGACGGACCAGTGAAATGATGCCGCTCTATTTCGCGTTTTCCGTATAATTACACGCAATATTGATTTCGCTTGCCGCGTGAATAACATATTTATTTAATCAAAGGGATGCCCACCAACAATTCACGCAATCTTTTACTGCGTGTAATATTTTTTTTCCAGCTATTTTCATTTTAATTGCATCCCTGCATTGCATTATTTTTGAAGGTGTGCCACTGAACACATTTGCCTGGTTGATTGTTCTGTTGATAGCACGTACCGACCCATGACCTTAGCATTGCATTTGGTTCCACGTTGCTGTAATGCATATTTGTTGTTGTTGCTTCTTCTGTTTACAGGGCTCCGACCTTCGCAATGGGAATGTGAAAGGAAGCGTCCTCACTGGTAAGAGAGGGGCCCCGTGTGCTGGCCTTTAAAAACAAAATGAGGGTTCGCACTTAATCCCATCGATAGTGGGTTCGTAAAAAAAAAAATGTACTTTCTTTGTACACATTGTCAAACCATGACGAATGCACAACTCAATTATAAACATGAAAGATCGAGCGCTGTTATGACAGATTCTAGGTGAACGCATACTTGGAATTTTTTTGGGTGGGGGGGAAGCATTCAAAATAAAATCTATTGAAACGTAGAATAAATAAACATACAATACATAACTCATTGAAAACTGTTTGTAGAGAACATTGCAAATGCTTGCGTATATGTCGACCCGTAAGATATCGTTTAAAATTGCATTTCAAACCATATTTTAATGGTTCACTTTTTTGCACCACTTGTCATATCAAAATTAAAGTCTGGTCCTTTGCGCAAACCTCGCCGTGCTGGTTCTGCTCAATTCTCATCATCTAGACCCTGAGCCAGTCGTAGAAATCCGAGTTGCTCCATCGGAACCCATCCGTACACACACAGGGTGACTAATATTGACGACTCTCAAACTGCTTCTCATTTTACTGACGAGGCACCGCCCCGCGCCGCCGCCGCCCACCCCTCTCCCAAATTGTGAATCAAGCACTCAGAGTGCATTCCGTCAAATGACCATAGTAGTTATGCAGTCACGCACGCGGCAACACGCTAAGAAGAAGGCCCGTTGCGAACGCAGTGGCAGCGTTAAGGTCATCTGGACATGGTGACTTGTAAGGTCCTACCTTCAGTTATTCAAGGCGAGCCATTAATCAAACGCATCTGGGCGTGCATGCATGTACAACTAAAAATTAGCGCATAATGTTGATACAGTGAAGAGTGATTAATTAATAGTTGTGTGTTTAACAGCATTGCGGCTGGCTTCAGATGGGCATTGGGGGTGTTTGTTTGCTTGGCTGGTCGAGGGGCAGACCTTCTTATTCTTCCTCCTTCGACCCTGGCGGCAGGTTTGTGAGAATTCCTAAGTCAGAACAGAGGTCCAGAGGGAGTGGGTCAACAATTTGACTGCATCTGAATGAAGAGTCTGGCAGCCGAGTAGGTTTGCATCAAGGGTGGCTATTGCCAGGGCTGATACATGAATGGTTACCTCTGTTGTTTTTATGTCTCAGGAGAGCCTCGTTGAGTCCCAGACTCTTTTTTAGGTGGGTCCCGAGGGAGCGAAGATTTCTGTGTTTCCTGATAAAGTTATTTTCGAATGTTTCAAATTTGGCACATTTAGACCGTGGAGAGCGACACACCATTATCATACTCTTCGCTCTGAAACAGGCAGGGCGTATGTTATGGTTAATACACTCGCAGTATTAACCAGGGCGTCCTATCGAATTCAAACTGCAAACCATCTTCAACAAGTGGCAAATGTACTTCTACTGGGCCACGTCACTGCCCAATTGTGAGAGGAGAGGCCATTTGAGGGTTCGGGGATATCCTGTTATATGTCAGTGAGTGTATATATGTGTGTGCCCATAGCCATGAGTTTACTTACGTGGGCGTCCATATATACGAGAGTGTTTGTGTAGGGGTGTGTGTATATTTGTGAGTGCAATTATGTGCGGGTATACGGTCAAACAACCACTTCTTCTTGACGTGTGTGCTTTTTCCATACGTACGTATGTTGAACTTATTTCGCACCGTACGTATGCATATGTCTTCTTGGTTCTTTCGGTAAAGTCACTTAGAAGGGAAATAATAAAATAATAAAATTAATAAACATAATAAAATACAATTCTCACGACGTTTCGGCCACAACGCAAGCAGCTGTCTTCAGGTGAAGAACAGGTCTGTCGGTAACACAGCGTCTGAATTCTTTCCGACAGACCTGTTCTTCACCTGAGGACGGCTGCTTGCGTTGTGGCCGAAACGTCGTGAGAATTGTATTTTATTATTTATAATTTTTATTATTTTATTATTTCCCTTCTACGTGACTTTACCGAAAAGACCAAGAAGATGAATCCCTGCAGTCACGAAAGCTTTAAATCCTATGCATATGTGTTTCTTTGTCCACGTGATTGTGCATTTACAAGTTTGCTGTGTTGTACGGAGTATCATCCATTTGTAAAACAAAACAATCTGACACATGATTAATTTGGCAAAGACAGCTGGACACAATGGCCCTTCTTGCAGGCGCTTTGATTTAACAATCGAGCTTTCAGAAACACATTATCTTGAAACGCATTATCAGTTGGACCAATATGCAGGCTTAAAGTGACAAGCCACGGATGTTGCAGGTAGCACTCTAGGCCCCTAGACCATTTGGCCTTTTAGAATGGATCAATATCGATCCTTCAGCCTCACTCATTCCACAGACATTCGTTGCCTTCAGTTGACCCTTTAAGTCCTCCCTTTGGGCCAGCGACAACCACAGGGAAGAAACGCACGTACGTATGTTGAATTTCTTTCACACCGTACGTAGCCAACCGTGCTAGTTGGAGGTGCGGGGGAAGGACAAACAAACTAAACACTAAAAGCACTTCTCGAGTAATGAGTTTTCAATCTAGATTTGAAAGTGTTGATTCAAAAGCTCCAGTTTCTTCCTAATATCGGAAGGGAAAGCATCACAGACGGCTGCAGGAGCGCATCTGAAGCGTGCGATGCTGCAATAACTTTAAGCGGAGATCCCAAATAAAAGAATACGAATGAAGGCTTCTACACGACGTGTCGGTCATGGGCGTTGTTTGACCATACTTCACCACGCTGGTCAGTGCGGGTTGGTAGAGGCAGGGGGCTGAGCCGTGGACCGGTTTTTTGTTGTCGTGTGCCGATGTGGCCCAAAACCCAGCACAATGGACACTGTCAGGCCCCATTAACCTCGGGGCGGTGAAGCACAACGTGCCGCTTGGCGTTATGTATTGTGCACGATCAGAAATCCAATCGTCTGTGTCACCAAAATTGTACCACAGCAATACTGCTGGTTTGCGCTGTGGCGCTCTGTTATTCGGGTCATACCGCGTGTTGCTTGGCACGACGCCAGACGTTTTGCTCCACGTGATGGGAACTTCCTGAAGAAGATTCTCGAAAAAGCTCCCAGCACGTGGAGCGTAACGTCGGACATCGTGCCGAGCAAACAACCTCAATAAAGATTTGAGAGGACAAGTTGAGCACCGTCTCCTTGCTCGTTTGAGTGGTGGGACACTTTGAATTTAACTTCATTTGGGATTGGTAACCCAGTATTATTTTACTTCTGATTATATGCCAATGGCGTGGTCTTGAGACATTTTCGTTAAGTGAAGAAACGTGATTCCGAATCTCTCACAGCCAGCAGAGTACCATACCCCTGAGCTTTATCTGGAGTCACTTGAGTTGGCCTCTCTCACCCAGCACTGCAGATGATTTATTTCCTGCACCAGAGAGAATTTTCATCGTACCCTTCGTCCCACTGTATTCTTACATGTTTTCCTCATCGCTGGAAAATTTCAAATATACGAAAATAAACCGCGTACATGTGACGTGTGATGGGTTTATTGTGCCGTGCCACACGCAGAAATTACCCGACAACACGTCGGCGAGATGCACAGCGCGCTGAGTGCTACACCACCGCCCCTTTTACGGAACGTACACACAACTTGCTCCCAAATCTATGCGTGTGCATGTACGCACCTTGGCCTTTAAAAGCTGTGGAAATTCCTATAATGTGTCCTTAACGGAGACTCGGCCATCATTCACAGGTTTCTCCCCTCCCCACCCCAACATACATGCTTGCAATGGACAGACACCACTTAGAGTAACAATACGAATTTGTCATGTCCATAGAATGGCAGACGAGAGGATTCCTGAGGTCCATCAACAGACAGGAGGAACTTGCCTCGAGTGTACACCAAGGCCATGCTTTTCAATCAGGGTCGACAGAATCAGACATTTCATTAAGGGGAACAGAAACACCTTTGTGGGCATTGATTTGATTGTTTTTGAGTTATGTTGTAGTTACTCAGGAAGACCTCACTACTTAAGTCTCATTTTTCGATTTAAAGCTTTCATGACTGCAGGGATTCATCTTCTTGGTTCTTTCGGTAAAGTCACGTAGAAGGGAAATAATACAATAATACAAATAACACATAATAAAATACAATATATTTTATTATGTTTTATTTTTATTACTTAAGTCTCATGAATATATTTCAAAACGAGGTCCTCATTTTTTATGTTTGGCCAATTCCTTACAGGAGCGTTCTCCATGTGGCATGTAAACCCAGAGTACCCACAGAACACCCACATGCACGAGGGGGACGACACTCAAAAGCCAGTGCAGAGTGATCATGATGCTACTTAATCTACTGCTAGCATGTGCGTAAGTCACGTGACTGGTTTACGCATATTTTTTTCACTTTACCAGGTAAGACCCACTGAGCTGTATAGCTCTTTTTCATAAGCGACCTGGCCACAAATGATCGCTCAGCGAAGTGGCCTATCATGTGGACATTTCTAGCAGCGAAATACTCTAAACGCACGTTTGTAAATGTGGAGGTAAAAACCACAGGAGCCGTAGAAAAATCCACTTGACCACGGGGAGAGCATGCAAACTCCAAATATACAGACGTCAGGGTCTGGATTGAACCCACGATCTCCTGCATGCCAGGCGAGGCAGTTAACATCTCGCCACCGTGGCACCCACGGTAACGCCACGGGATCATCCCAACATGATCCCAGCCACACCTGATTTATGAGTTTTGGCCACAGGTTTGTGACACCACACTGTGAGTCAAATGCTTCCCAATCGATAGAGACATTGAATTTTGGCTCCACATATAAACACACACTTAGAAATGCATATTGCTCCACGTCTGAGGACCATTGTCTATTTCATGACATTCATCAACACAGCAGACAGGTATGCAGGTGATTAATATGATCAACACTATAGCTGGTATGATTTGCCTGGCCTGGTGGCCAACAATATCAAAACCCAGTCTTGGGTTGACTCAGCCCATCATCTCCCTCGGGTCAATGAAATATATACCATTTTGTGGGAA